ACCCCACCCAATCCTAATCGAACGACGAGTTCCGACTATTTATTAATTTTATCAAATCACTAAAAGTTACAAACAATTAATAATTTCACTACGAAGGAACGGGACGAAAAGTTAATTTCTTTATTTTTTAAGGTTGAAGCCTGCAGATAAAAAATTAGTATCTCATTGATTGAAATTTGTGGTCCTGAAAAGGACCGATTTGTACAAAGTATGTTAGCGCATTGGCAGCCACTTAAGCACGCTCGCCGCGAATGCGACGGGCCAACTGGATGTCTTTGGGCATGATGGTGACACGCTTGGCATGAATGGCGCACAAGTTGGTATCTTCAAAGAGGCCAACCAGATAGGCCTCGCTAGCTTCCTGCAGAGCCATCACCGCCGAGCTCTGGAATCGCAGGTCAGTCTTGAAGTCCTGAGCGATTTCACGCACCAGACGCTGGAAAGGCAGCTTGCGGATCAGGAGCTCGGTACTCTTCTGGTATCGGACGGATCTCACGCAGGGCAACCGTTCCAGGGCGATACCGATGGGGCTTCTTCACGCCTCCGGTGGCTGGGGCGCTCTTGCGAGCGGCCTTAGTAGCCAGTTGTTTGCGTGGCGCCTTGCCACCAGTCGATTTCCGAGCGGTTTGCTTGGTACGGGCCATTTTCGAGTTCACTGCTGTTCACGTTCACTTCACGTTTCAAAACACAATAAACGTTAGCTGCATTTGCAACCTACTTATATAGCAAAACGAGGAGGATTGAAAAGAGAGGGAAGAAGAGGGCATCTCATTTGTCGAACAGAGAGCGGAGAGCGAAGAGCGGGACGCACATATCGTTCGGACTCGCTTGTGTTTCTGGGGTTTTAGGTATAAATAAGAGTTCGTCGAAAATAAGGAATTAGTTCTTCAGTGACTTTCGTTTCGTGCAGTGTGTTAACAGTAGAAAATAGTGAGTTATGACTGGTCGCGGTAAAGGAGGAAAAGGCTTGGGAAAAGGAGGCGCCAAGCGTCATCGCAAAGTGCTGCGGGATAACATTCAGGGTATCACTAAGCCAGCAATCCGCCGTTTGGCTCGTCGCGGCGGTGTAAAGCGCATCTCGGGACTCATTTACGAGGAAACACGTGGCGTCCTGAAGGTGTTCTTGGAGAACGTTATCCGCGATGCCGTCACCTACACCGAACACGCCAAGAGGAAGACTGTCACAGCCATGGATGTTGTGTACGCCTTGAAGAGGCAAGGCCGCACCCTATACGGCTTCGGCGGTTAAAAAACTAGTACAGCTTGTACTTCATTCAGCAATCGGTCCTTTTCAGGACCACCATTCAAATTTTCGAAGGAGAAAAAATTCAAATAATTTTTTGATTCATTGGCCTACTGACCGGGAACTCGAAAGTTGATACTGCATATACATATTGCATTAAACCAAAATGAAATTTCAAATGGGAGGTTCAGGTTAGTGTTTTGTAGAAGCTGTACCGCTTGCAGATACAGCATTAAGGGAAATGCGTCTTTTTGGCGACGAACTTCTTAGAATATTCCAGATCTTATATCTGACCAAGTGCTATAGGACCAACGCATATACAAAACCTACTTCTGTTTCCCAATCGATATTTCAACGTATTTTCTTGTTTTAATAATATGATATACGTATTGGAAAATCTTTACTTCTTTGGTAAAAACTTGGTCGTCCTGAAAAGGACGGTTGGGTTTGTTTTTTATGTACAAGTATGTAATTGGCTCCGCATTTAAAACGTTTAAGCCTTCTTCTCGGTCTTCTTGGGCAACAGAACAGCCTGGATGTTGGGCAACACTCCACCCTGGGCAATGGTGACGCCGGAGAGCAGTTTGTTCAACTCCTCGTCGTTGCGGATGGCCAGCTGCAGATGACGAGGAATAATCCTAGTCTTCTTGTTGTCACGAGCAGCATTGCCAGCCAATTCGAGAACCTCAGCGGCCAGATATTCCATCACAGCAGCCAGGTAAACTGGAGCGCCGGCCCCAACTCGCTCGGCATAGTTGCCCTTGCGGAGCAAACGGTGAATACGGCCCACTGGGAACTGAAGACCGGCACGGTTAGAGCGGGACTTTGCCTTTCCCTTCACTTTGCCACCTTTTCCACGACCAGACATTTTTCTTTACGAGTATTTCACTTAGTTCACTTTACACACTGAAAACGAATGCTCGACGAGCCCCGGGTAGCCACATATTTATACTTTTGCGTCTGCCTGCGCGTTCATTTAGGGGTGGGTGCCTTAGACCTGAAAACATTGCTCGAAAAAAAGTATAAAGATGAACGCGCTTGGGCACCATTATGATCAGTGAGTTGTGTTTGTGAAATCATAAGTGAAGTGAATAATGCCGCCGAAAACTAGTGGAAAGGCAGCCAAGAAGGCTGGCAAAGCCCAGAAGAACATCACCAAGACCGATAAGAAGAAGAAGCGCAAGAGGAAGGAGAGCTACGCCATCTACATTTACAAGGTCCTGAAGCAGGTCCACCCTGACACCGGTATTTCGTCGAAGGCGATGAGCATCATGAACAGCTTTGTGAATGATATCTTCGAGCGCATTGCTGCAGAGGCGTCTCGTCTGGCTCACTACAACAAGCGCTCGACCATAACCAGTCGGGAGATCCAAACGGCTGTTCGCCTGCTCCTGCCCGGAGAGTTGGCCAAGCACGCCGTCAGTGAGGGAACCAAGGCTGTCACCAAGTACACCAGCTCCAAGTAATTTACTCTTGCTGCGTATGGGGAGAAAGATCCAAAACGGCCCTTTTCAGGGCCACAACACATTTTACCAAAGGAACTTCATTTTCAATATACCATTTGCCAATCAAATTCGTGATATAAGTTCAATTTGAGTTTTTTTTTTCTAAAGAACTTATTCTGGAGCTTTATAGTATAGTTATTAAATCATGGTCATCTATTGATAACGAATTTCTGCAATGCTAGTCCACGAACATTCTGTGACTTGCATTTTAAGATTCTCTGGTACAGCTGCTAAAATCAATGCAGCCACACTTATGTGAAAAAAATGCTAACGGCCTAACAAGATAATTGGACAAGTGAAATGTACTAAGTTTTAAATTGAAAGTTCCTTTCTCTTGTTCACGAACGTTGTAGCCCTGAAAAGGGCTTATTTAAACTAATTTCAGATTTCGAAATCTAAAATAGCGATTGCGAGCAGGTACCAGGTACTGTACTTTTGCACAATTTACTTCTTGGCCGCCGTAGTTTTGGCTTTCGGCTTTTTAGCAGTAGCAGGAGCAGCTGCTTTCTTCACAGCCTTTTTAGGCTTAACAGACGCCGCTGGCTTGGCCTTTGGTGCTTTCGCCGCCTTTGCCTTCGCTGCGGTCGACTTGGCCTTCGCTGCTGCTGGCTTCGCCTTTACGGTTCCAGTTTTCTTGGCATCCTTGGCCTTCGCCTTCTCGGTTTTCTTCTTCTCTGCGGTCTTTTTGGTGGCAACAGCCTTCTTAGCCTTGGGCTTCTTGTCGTCAGCTCCGGCGGCAGCTTTCTTGGCGGTGGATCCGGTCTTCTTGACGGCTACCTTCTTGCTTTTCACCTTCTTCTGAGCAGACGCAGGCTTCGGCTTCGGATCCTTCTTGGCGGAGGCCGACAGTTTAAATGAGCCAGACGCCCCCTTTCCCTTTGTTTGGATCAGCTTTCCATTTACCACGGCCGATTTCAAGTATTTCTTGATGAATGGAGCAAGCTTCTGGGCATCGCATTTATAGGTGGCAGTGATGTATTTCTTGATTGCCAAAAGCGATGAGCCGCCACGTTCCTTCAAATTCTTGATGGATGCGTCCACCATTTGTTGAGTTGGCGGATGCGATGGCGGGGCAGCAGCCTTTTTCACCTTTGGGGCAGCGGATCCAGATGCCTTTTTGGTGGCCACCTTCTTCTCAACTGGCGCTGACGGGGCAGCCACTGGGGAAGCGGCCGTTGCAACTGCAGATTCAGACATTTTTCTTCACTAAAATACACTTTTTCGTATAGAAAATGGCCCGCGCGCTTATTGCCAACCTCCTTCGTTCGGATGAGAATCGAGGAGGAGAGCACTTTAACTGTGCGTCTGGCATCAGGCATTTGCTCTGCTAATGTTTGTTTGAAGTGCAGACATATTTTCTTGTTTTTAGTGCTTAAGATCCTAAAATGTAATAATCATTTTATTGTTTTACATTCTTAAATAATCTATTAAGTAGGTAATGTTTTCAAAACGTTAGTATCTGGTTTTTGCAACCTTTTATTGCCGAATCAACTTCAACATAGACATTCGTAACATGAGCAATTTTTTTAAAAACCCATTTTAAAATATGATTTCTTAGAAATATTTTGTAACTTGCTAATGAAAAAATAAATTTGAACCTTTTACTTAAATAAGTACTACAATTAAATTTACTTATCTTTAGTTTAGGTATTTTAATTCATGTTCCAAGTTGTCCCTTGGCTATGTACAAAGTTGGCTATCAGACTACTTTCGGCAATCGATTTCGGACTGTTAAAAATATAAATAATTTAAAATATTGTATTTATATGATGTTTTCTTAGATATATCATGTCTTTGCTTAAGACAATCCAGCTTTGGATGCATGTTTATAAACAGTTTTTACAAATTTTGCTAATTTGTGTTTCATATATGAATCCCATTGAGGCCGCACTCGAGTTAATATTTAAGAAAAAAATGTAAAAAGTATACTTAATAATATTTTTCTTGTTTTTTATAAAACATTATGCATTCATTAACGCATATGATTTATTTTCAGATAGCGTTTAAAAGTTTTTCGATTTTTTGTTGGTGCTTAAATGTCTAATGTTGATCGTGGTAGTCCCACAAAACCCTCTCGTTCTAAAAACATGCCGACATTAGTAATGAAATTTTTTCAAAAACGTGATAAAATTAAAAGTACAACAGTCAAATTGAATCATAGCAGCTCCATCACATTAAAAACCCCACCCAATCCTAATCGAACGACGAGTTCCGACTATTTATTAATTTTATCAAATCACTAAAAGTTACAAACAATTAATAATTTCACTTACGAAGGAACGGGACGAAAAGTTAATTTCTTTATTTTAAGGTTGAAGCCTGCAGATAAAAATTAGTATCTCATTGATTGAAATTTGTGGTCCTGAAAAGGACCGATTTGTACAAAGTATGTTAGCGCATTGGCAGCCACTTAAGCACGCTCGCCGCGAATGCGACGGGCCAACTGGATGTCTTTGGGCATGATGGTGACACGCTTGGCATGAATGGCGCACAAGTTGGTATCTTCAAAGAGGCCAACCAGATAGGCCTCGCTAGCTTCCTGCAGAGCCATCACCGCCGAGCTCTGGAATCGCAGGTCAGTCTTGAAGTCCTGAGCGATTTCACGCACCAGACGCTGGAAAGGCAGCTTGCGGATCAGGAGCTCGGTACTCTTCTGGTATCGACGGATCTCACGCAGGGCAACCGTTCCAGGGCGATACCGATGGGGCTTCTTCACGCCTCCGGTGGCTGGGGCGCTCTTGCGAGCGGCCTTAGTAGCCAGTTGTTTGCGTGGCGCCTTGCCACCAGTCGATTTCCGAGCGGTTTGCTTGGTACGGGCCATTTTCGAGTTCACTGCTGTTCACGTTCACTTCACGTTTCAAAACACAATAAACGTTAGCTGCATTTGCAACCTACTTATATAGCAAAACGAGGAGGATTGAAAAGAGAGGGAAGAAGAGGGCATCTCATTTGTCGAACAGAGAGCGGAGAGCGAAGAGCGGGACGCACATATCGTTCGGACTCGCTTGTGTTTCTGGGGTTTTAGGTATAAATAAGAGTTCGTCGAAAATAAGGAATTAGTTCTTCAGTGACTTTCGTTTCGTGCAGTGTGTTAACAGTAGAAAATAGTGAGTTATGACTGGTCGCGGTAAAGGAGGAAAAGGCTTGGGAAAAGGAGGCGCCAAGCGTCATCGCAAAGTGCTGCGGGATAACATTCAGGGTATCACTAAGCCAGCAATCCGCCGTTTGGCTCGTCGCGGCGGTGTAAAGCGCATCTCGGGACTCATTTACGAGGAAACACGTGGCGTCCTGAAGGTGTTCTTGGAGAACGTTATCCGCGATGCCGTCACCTACACCGAACACGCCAAGAGGAAGACTGTCACAGCCATGGATGTTGTGTACGCCTTGAAGAGGCAAGGCCGCACCCTATACGGCTTCGGCGGTTAAAAAACTAGTACAGCTTGTACTTCATTCAGCAATCGGTCCTTTTCAGGACCACCATTCAAATTTTCGAAGGAGAAAAAATTCAAATAATTTTTTGATTCATTGGCCTACTGACCGGGAACTCGAAAGTTGATACTGCATATACATATTGCATTAAACCAAAATGAAATTTCAAATGGGAGGTTCAGGTTAGTGTTTTGTAGAAGCTGTACCGCTTGCAGATACAGCATTAAGGGAAATGCGTCTTTTTGGCGACGAACTTCTTAGAATATTCCAGATCTTATATCTGACCAAGTGCTATAGGACCAACGCATATACAAAACCTACTTCTGTTTCCCAATCGATATTTCAACGTATTTTCTTGTTTTAATAATATGATATACGTATTGGAAAATCTTTACTTCTTTGGTAAAAACTTGGTCGTCCTGAAAAGGACGGTTGGGTTTGTTTTTTATGTACAAGTATGTAATTGGCTCCGCATTTAAAACGTTTAAGCCTTCTTCTCGGTCTTCTTGGGCAACAGAACAGCCTGGATGTTGGGCAACACTCCACCCTGGGCAATGGTGACGCCGGAGAGCAGTTTGTTCAACTCCTCGTCGTTGCGGATGGCCAGCTGCAGATGACGAGGAATAATCCTAGTCTTCTTGTTGTCACGAGCAGCATTGCCAGCCAATTCGAGAACCTCAGCGGCCAGATATTCCATCACAGCAGCCAGGTAAACTGGAGCGCCGGCCCCAACTCGCTCGGCATAGTTGCCCTTGCGGAGCAAACGGTGAATACGGCCCACTGGGAACTGAAGACCGGCACGGTTAGAGCGGGACTTTGCCTTTCCCTTCACTTTGCCACCTTTTCCACGACCAGACATTTTTCTTTACGAGTATTTCACTTAGTTCACTTTACACACTGAAAACGAATGCTCGACGAGCCCCGGGTAGCCACATATTTATACTTTTGCGTCTGCCTGCGCGTTCATTTAGGGGTGGGTGCCTTAGACCTGAAAACATTGCTCGAAAAAAAGTATAAAGATGAACGCGCTTGGGCACCATTATGATCAGTGAGTTGTGTTTGTGAAATCATAAGTGAAGTGAATAATGCCGCCGAAAACTAGTGGAAAGGCAGCCAAGAAGGCTGGCAAAGCCCAGAAGAACATCACCAAGACCGATAAGAAGAAGAAGCGCAAGAGGAAGGAGAGCTACGCCATCTACATTTACAAGGTCCTGAAGCAGGTCCACCCTGACACCGGTATTTCGTCGAAGGCGATGAGCATCATGAACAGCTTTGTGAATGATATCTTCGAGCGCATTGCTGCAGAGGCGTCTCGTCTGGCTCACTACAACAAGCGCTCGACCATAACCAGTCGGGAGATCCAAACGGCTGTTCGCCTGCTCCTGCCCGGAGAGTTGGCCAAGCACGCCGTCAGTGAGGGAACCAAGGCTGTCACCAAGTACACCAGCTCCAAGTAATTTACTCTTGCTGCGTATGGGGAGAAAGATCCAAAACGGCCCTTTTCAGGGCCACAACACATTTTACCAAAGGAACTTCATTTTCAATATACCATTTGCCAATCAAATTCGTGATATAAGTTCAATTTGAGTTTTTTTTTTCTAAAGAACTTATTCTGGAGCTTTATAGTATAGTTATTAAATCATGGTCATCTATTGATAACGAATTTCTGCAATGCTAGTCCACGAACATTCTGTGACTTGCATTTTAAGATTCTCTGGTACAGCTGCTAAAATCAATGCAGCCACACTTATGTGAAAAAAATGCTAACGGCCTAACAAGATAATTGGACAAGTGAAATGTACTAAGTTTTAAATTGAAAGTTCCTTTCTCTTGTTCACGAACGTTGTAGCCCTGAAAAGGGCTTATTTAAACTAATTTCAGATTTCGAAATCTAAAATAGCGATTGCGAGCAGGTACCAGGTACTGTACTTTTGCACAATTTACTTCTTGGCCGCCGTAGTTTTGGCTTTCGGCTTTTTAGCAGTAGCAGGAGCAGCTGCTTTCTTCACAGCCTTTTTAGGCTTAACAGACGCCGCTGGCTTGGCCTTTGGTGCTTTCGCCGCCTTTGCCTTCGCTGCGGTCGACTTGGCCTTCGCTGCTGCTGGCTTCGCCTTTACGGTTCCAGTTTTCTTGGCATCCTTGGCCTTCGCCTTCTCGGTTTTCTTCTTCTCTGCGGTCTTTTTGGTGGCAACAGCCTTCTTAGCCTTGGGCTTCTTGTCGTCAGCTCCGGCGGCAGCTTTCTTGGCGGTGGATCCGGTCTTCTTGACGGCTACCTTCTTGCTTTTCACCTTCTTCTAGCAGACGCAGGCTTCGGCTTCGGATCCTTCTTGGCGGAGGCCGACAGTTTAAATGAGCCAGACGCCCCCTTTCCCTTTGTTTGGATCAGCTTTCCATTTACCACGGCCGATTTCAAGTATTTCTTGATGAATGGAGCAAGCTTCTGGGCATCGCATTTATAGGTGGCAGTGATGTATTTCTTGATTGCCAAAAGCGATGAGCCGCCACGTTCCTTCAAATTCTTGATGGATGCGTCCACCATTTGTTGAGTTGGCGGATGCGATGGCGGGGCAGCAGCCTTTTTCACCTTTGGGGCAGCGGATCCAGATGCCTTTTTGGTGGCCACCTTCTTCTCAACTGGCGCTGACGGGGCAGCCACTGGGGAAGCGGCCGTTGCAACTGCAGATTCAGACATTTTTCTTCACTAAAATACACTTTTTCGTATAGAAAATGGCCCGCGCGCTTATTGCCAACCTCCTTCGTTCGGATGAGAATCGAGGAGGAGAGCACTTTAACTGTGCGTCTGGCATCAGGCATT